GAAAGAAAGAAAAAGTGGTCCTTCCAGGACACAACTTGGGAAGCTGAGGCAAGGTGGGCACTCCAGGACAAGGTATTATTTTCACAACAATGCCTGAAGACTCTGGTTCCTTTATTTTATTTTATTTTTTAAAGACGGGGTTTCACCATGTTGGTCAGGCTGGTCTTGAACTCCCGACCTCAGGTGATCCGCCCGCCTTGGCCTCCAAAGTGCTTGGATTACAGGTGTGAGCCACCACGCCCAGCGACTCTGGTTCCTTTCTTTCTCCTTTTTCTTTTCTTTTTTTCAATCTGCAGAAGTCTCTCTTTTTTTTTTTTTTTTTTTTTGAGACAGGGCCTCACTCTTTTGGCCAGAGTGATCTTGGCTCACTGCAGCCTCCCCCTCCAGGGTTCAAGTGATTCCCATGCCTCAGCCTCTCAAGTAGCTGGGATTACAGATGTGTGCCACCATGCACAGCTAACTTTTGTATTTTTAGTAGAGACAGGGATTCACCATGGTGGCCAGGCTGGTCTTGAACTTCTGACCTCAAGTAATCCACCTGTCTTGGCTTCCCAAAGTGCTGGGATTATAGGCACGAACCACCACACCTGGCTGAGACTCTGGCTCCTTTCTAGGAGTCCTTAACCTGAGGACCACCAACTCTCGCAGTGGGAGTCCCCCAAAGCACATCATTCATTCATTTATTCATCCAACAAATATTTATTGAACAACTACTATGTGTCTGGCACACTTCTAGGTCCTACGGAGGTGGCAGTGAGAAAGCACAAAAACTCTTCTGCTTTCAAACAGGGCAAAATGCCAGTAATTGTTAAATATGGCCAGAGGCGGTAACAGGTGTTCATTGTCATTATGTCTTTTTTCTGTGTTTGAAAGTTTTATTGAAAATAGAAGTTAGAAGAAAAAAATGTTTGTCTTCCAAGAGGCAGACAATAAATAAGGGGTGTATGTGTGTTGGTGCTAAGTGCTACAGAGAACATAAAACAGGAATGAGGGTTGGCAAGTATATATGGAAATTCCAACTTTAAATAGTGTCATTCCAGGAACTCCTCACTGAGAAGGTAACTTTTGAATAAAGCACTGAAGGAGAGAAGGGAATGATCCAGACTGCTTTCCTGACAAACAGATGTCCTGGCAGCAGGGACAAAAGAGGCAAAGGCCCTGAGGCCAGAACATGGCCAGTATTTTCCAGGAAGAGCAAGGAAGCAAGTGTGTGGCTGGAGCAGAGACAGGGTGCCAGGAGTTGGGGGCAAGGTCAGAGTGGAAAGGGGAGGGGGCAGGCAGATCACACAGGGCCCTGAAGGCCGGAAGGGCTGTGGCTTTTACCGGAGTGACCAGGGGAGGCCCTGGAGGGTGAGAAAAGAATGACGGAAGCTGACTTGTGTAGGGTAATGAGTAGGCACCCTTTGGAGGCGGGGGTCTCTAGAGCTCCCATTAGACACTCAAGGCAGTCCAGATCCCCACAAGGCTAAAAACCAGTGTGATGGTCCGGCATAGTGGCTCACGCCTCTAATCCCAGCACTTTGGGAAGCCCGAGGCCTGCGGATCACTTGAGGTCAGGAGTTCAAGACCAGCCTGGCCAACATGGTGAAACCCCCCCCTCGTCTCTACTGAAAATACAAAAAATTAGCCGGGCATGATAGCTTGCGCTTGTAATTCCAGCCACTCGGGAGGCTGAGGCAGGAGAATCGCTTGAACCCGGGAGGCGGAGGTTGCAATGAGCTGAGATCGCGCCACTGCACTCCAGCCTGGGCGACAGAGTGAGACTTTCGTCTCAAAAATCAAACACAATGTGAGGTAGATTTGCCGTTCAAATTTTGCCGCTACCGGGTCTCGGCAGGAAGGGGCGGGCACTGCCTGGTCGCTAGGCTGGGGTGGCGCGTTGCCATAGCGACCCTGGCCGGGCCCGCGGCGCGCGCAGCTGAAGGAGGCTAAGTCTGGAGGCTGCGACCCCGCCGGTGAGCGCAGGTGAGCTGGGTGCAGGTGGGGCAGGGCCAGGAATCCTGACTGACACCAAGTCGTCTGGGCCCCGCCCCCTTTCCATTGTGGTCCTTTTTTTTTCCTCCTGGAGACAGGGTCTTGCTCTGTCGCCTAGGCTGGAATGCAGTGGCGCTGATGATAGCTCATTGCAGTCCTGACCTCCGAGGCTCAAGGGATCCTCCCCCTCAGCATCCCGAGTAGCTGGGACTACAGGCCTGCACCACAATGCCAAGCTAATTTTTTAATTTTTTGTAGAGATGAGGTCTCACCATGGTTGCCCAGGCTGGTCTCCATCTCCCGGACTCATAGAATACTCCCATATCGGCCTCCCAAAATGCTGGGATTGCAGGCATCAGCCCCATGCTGCCAGGCTGGTCTGTAATTCAGCACCAGAACAACCTGGGCAGACTTTCATTTCCTGTCAACAGCTCACGTGTTAAGACCACAGCCTCCTCTGGAGTAGAACCTATGTTACCTAAAGTAACATAGTGGGATGGAGGGTGATTTTAGGTTACACTGATGAGGTGTGAAATAACACCCAATGACATCATAAGAAAGTTATTAGAGTCTGGGTTCTCTTACAATTCTGAGCAAGCCAAGGAGAGTCAATTTGGTGATCACGTGGCATTAACACCTCTTTTAACATTTGCTAATCTCTATTTTTTTTTTTTTTTTTAGTAGAGACGGGGTTTCACTATGTTGGCCAGGATAGTCTCGATCTCATGACATTGTGATCCACCGGCCTCGGCCTCCGAAAATGCTGGGATTACAGGCATGAGCCACCTCACCTGGCTGCTAATCTCTATTTTTAACAGAGACCTTGGAGCCCAGCCAACTCTAAACCATAGCATCTAGCTAAGAATTAAGTTGTTTCTTCCAATGTTTTTATTTTTACATTTATCATTGCCTTAGGGTACCTGCTACTGGTTTTCTGTTTATAATAACGATATGTAGGCCGGGTGTGGTGGCTCACACCTGTAATCCCAGCACTTTGGGAGGCTGAGGAGGGTGGATAATGAGGTCAGGAGATTGAGACCGTCCTGGCTAACATGGTGAAACCCTGTCTCTACAAAGAGACACGTGGTGGCACGTGCCTGTAGTCCCAGCTACTCAGGAGGCTGAGGCAGGAGAATCACTTGAACCCAGGAGGCAGAGGTTGCAGTGAGCTGAGATCGCACAATTGCACTCTAGCCTGGTTGACAGAGTGAAACTCTATCTCAAAAAAAAAAAGAGAGAGAAAAAATGTAAAACCCAGACAGAGTTTTATTCTGTTGCCTAGGCTGGAGTGCAGTGGCATGATGTTGGTTCACTGCAACCTCCGACTCCTGGGTTCAAGTGATTCTCAAGCAGCTGGGATATCAGACATGTGTCACCACGCCCAGCTAATTTTTGTATTTTTAGTTGAGGCAGGGTTTCAGCATGTTGGCCAGGCTGATCTCGAACTCCTGACCTCAGGTGATCTGCCCACCTCAAGCTCTCAAAGTGCTGGGATTACAGGCGTGAGGCACCACGATCGGCCTCTTCTTTTTTTTTCAGATGGGGTCTTGCTCTGTTGCCCAGACTGGAGTGCAGTGGTGCGATCTCAGCTCACTGCAGCCTCTTCCTCCCGAGGTCAAAAGATTCTCCTGTCTTAGCCTCCCGAGTAGCAGGGACTGCAGGTGTGGGCTACCACACCTGGCTAATTTTTGTATTTTTAGTAGACCAGTTTAGTAGACATGTTGGCCAGGCTGGTCTTAAACTCCTGACCTCAGGTGATCCACCTGCCTCGGCCTTCCAGATTGCTGGGATTACAGGCACGTGTCTGGCACTCCTTTTTTCAACATATGAGTTGATTTTTTTGTTTTTTTTTTTTTTTTTGAGACGGAGTTTCGCCCTTGTTACCCAGGCTGGAGTGCAATGGCGCGATCTCGGCTCACCGCAACCTCCGCCTCCCGGGTTCAGGCAATTCTCCTGCCCCAGCCTCCTGAGTCGCTGGGATTACAGGCATGCGCCACCATGCCCAGCTAATTTTTTGTATTTTTAGTAGAGACGGGGTTTCACCATGTTGACCAGGATGGTCTCGATCTCTTGATCTCGTGATCCACCCACCTCGGCCTCCCAAAGTGCTGGGATTACAGGCTTGAGCCACCGCGCCCGGCTATGAGTTGATTTTTTAAAGTGAGTTAACTTATTTTTATTTTACTTTTTTCTTGAGAGAAGTTCTCGCTCTGTCATTCAGGCCAGCGCAGTGGCATGACCTCAGCTTACTGCAACCTCTGCCAAGTCAGTTAATTTACACATAAAGATTAACAATAATACAGGTGATACTTGGAAATGGAAGGGGAAAAATCCCAAAGGTATTGAATTTAGGACCTGAGATTGCTTCCCCACTCTCAGCTTTGGCTCTGCCTGTTTTCTTCACCTGGAATGATTTTTCCCTGCTCCTAGGTGTGATTGTCAAAATATGCAGTCCATATTTTGCGTTCATATTTTTGGACTCATATTTGGCTCACTGGCTCATGCCTGTAATACCAGCACTTGGAGATGCTGAGGTGGGTGGATCATTTGAGGTCAGGAGTTTGAGAGCAGCCTGGCCAACATGGTGAAACCCCATCTGTACTAAAAATACAAAAATTAGCTGGGCATGGTGGTGGGCACCTGTAATCCCGGCTACTCAGGAGGCTGAGGCACGAGAATCGCTTGAACCCAGGAGGCAGAGGTTGCAGTGAGCCGAGATGGTGCCACTGTACTCTAGCCTGGGAGACAAAGTGAGATTCCATCTCAAAAAATAATTAAGACCAGACACGGTTGTTCAGGCCTGTAATCCAGCACTTTGGAAGGCCAAGGCAGGCAGATCACAAGGTTAGGACTTCGAGACCAGCCTGGCTAACATGGTAAAACCCCATCTCTATTAAAAATACAAAAATTGGCCGGGCGCGGTGGCTCAAGCCTGTAATCCCAGCACTTTGGGAGGCCGAGGCGGGTGGATCACGAGGTGAAGAGATCGAGACCATCCTGGTCAACACGGTGAAACCCCGTCTCTACTAAAAATACAAAAACATTAGCTGGGCATGGTGGCGCGTGCCTGTGATCCCAGCTACTGAGGAGGTTGAGGCAGGAGAATTGCCAGAACCCAGGAGGCGGAGGTTGCGGTGAGCCGAGATCGCGCCATTGCACTCCAGCCTGGGTAACATGAGTGAAACTCCGTCTCAAAAAAAAAAAAAAAAAAAAAAAAAAAATACAAAAATTAACCAGGCATGGTGGCGGGTGCCTGTAATCCCAGCTACTTGGGAGGCTGAGGCAGGAGAATCACTTGAACCCAGGAGGGGGAGGTTGCGGTGAGCCAAGATTGTGCCACCGTACTCCAGCCTGGGCAACAAGAGCAAAACTCCATCTCAAAATAAATAAATTAATTAAATAAGAAAAAAGTAAATAAAAATAAATAAATATTTAGAAGACACAAAAAATATATATATTATGTGTGTGACCCCCCCCCCCAACCCAGCAGGCACAGCTCCTCCCTGATGCCATCACAAACCCTCCTGCTCTACTGGTCTCCCTGGATTCCCAAGTGATTGTGCCATCAGACCCCCTGGGAGGGGACCCCAGGAGAGGCAAGGGAGGGGCCAGCCAAAGGTTAGTCCAGCACTCAAGGACCCCACCAAGGGCTGGTCAACTGCCCGGGGACTCAGAACACACATGAGTTGCCCCACTTGAGCTCAGGATCCTGGCAATACACGGGCACGCTGAGCCCCGGATGTCCCTAATCCCTCTCCAGCACCCTCCAGCCTTGCAGAAGCAGCCACCATGCCAGTCTCTAAGTGCCTGAAATGGTCGGAGCCCCTGTGGAAGGGGTGGGACAGGAAGGCCCAGAAGAACGGCCTGCGGCACCAGGTGTACGCTGTGAACGGCGACTACTATGCGGGCGAGTGGAAGGACAACGTGAAACACGGTGAGTGGGCACTCTGGGGACGTGCGGCCAGAGTGGCTCGGAGCCATGCTGGGCCACAGGGCCAGGAAGGCAGCGTGCATGGCTCAATGGGGACATGAGATGTGCCCTCAAGGCTCCCCAGGGTAAGCGCTGGCCCAGGCCAGCTGTGGCCTCTGACCCAAACTCACCCCTGACTTCAACTGAGCGAGGGTATCAGGACCAGCAGTGGACAGAGGGTCTTGAGAAACTGGCCTGGCCCGGGTTCCTGCCTTTTGAGACTTGGGTTAAGCACCGGGCTGGCTGGCAACAAGAAAAGCCAGCCCCCTCAAAACCAGCTTGCAGTGGGGTTCTGGGCTTCACATTCAGCTGTGATGTTCCCCAGGGGGCTGAATGCCAGGCACAGGGAGGACCCCCTACTTCAGCCCCACCCCCAGGAGGCACAGGGAGGACTCCGTACTCCAGCCCCCCAGGAGGAGCTAGGGCTCCAGTTCTGACCAGCAGTGGGCAAAGGGGTCCTGCTGATATAAACTACATCCTGATTGGGAAAAGAAAGAAAAAGAGCTTATTTTCTATTTTTATTTATTTATTTATTTTAAAGATGGGGTTTCACCGTGTTGGTCAGGCTGGTCTTGAACTCCTGACCTCAGGTGATCCGCCGCCTTGGCCTCCAAAGTGCTTGGATGACAGGCGTGAGCCACCGCACCTGGCCAAGAGCTTTTATTTTAAAATGTGGCATTGCTGCTGTCTCCAGTCTTGCAATTCCAGACTCTGTACTCTTTTTTTTTTGGCGGGGGAGGGTGGGAACAGGGTCTTGCTCTGCCTCAAAAAAAAACCCAGGCTGGAGTGCAGCGGTGCTTTCAGAGCTCACTGCAGCCCCAAACTCCTGGGCTCAAGCAGTCCTCCTGTCTCAGCCTTCTGAATTGCTGGGATTAGAAGTGGGAGTCACTGTGCTTGGCTAGATTCTGTGCTGTTAACCACTCTGCTCTCCTGCCTTGCTGGGTTAAGTGATTTGCAGTCCAATAAATCTGGGTTAGGATCCCAGTTCCAGGCCAAGTACAGTGGCTCACACCTGTAATCCCAGCATTTTGGGAGGCCAAGGTGGGCAGATCACTTGAGGTCAGGAGTTCAAGACCACCCTGGCCAATATGATGAAATCCCATCTCTACTAAAAATATACAAAAATTAGCCGGGCACGGTGGCACGCACCTATAGTCCCAGCTACTTGGGAGATTAGGCAGGAGAATCGCTTGAACCCAGGAGGCGGAGGTTGCAGTGAGCCGAGATCGCACCACTGCAGTTCAGCCTGGTGACAGAGCGAGACTCCATCTTAAAAAAAAAAAAAAAAAAAAGATGCCTGAGTGTATTCCTAGTTCTTGTGGGGGCATGTGTTGTGGACACGGCCCTGGGCACTGAAGAACCCAGCTGTACTGCAGAGCAGTTGTGAGGCTTCAGGTAAATCATTTCCCATTTGCTGGCTCTCGGTCTCCCCATCTGTGACAGGCCAGTGGGCTTCCATCTGTGTAAGTCCTGCCGCCCCTCAGACTTTGGAGGTGTAGACCCAAAGCTGATGGGCCAGGGGCTGCAGAAAGCAGATCCATTGGAGAACTGAGGTCCCCTCTCTTCAACACACACCCTTTGACCAAACTGAAGTGAGTTGCTGTGGTATGAGCAGATTGGAAGCAGTCAAGACAGTCGTCAGACAAAGTGAGGACAGGGTGGCCTGGTGGGTCCCCGCGCTGCTCATTCATTCACTCCACAAACACTTACTCAGCTCCCAGTCCATTCCAGGCCCTGAGTGGGGCATCCAGCATAATCCCAGCCCTCAGGGAGCTTTCAGTGCTGCAGAGAATCTGCCCAGGAAGGTGACATGTGCATTTTACAGATAAGGCATCTGGCACTGAGAGAGGAAGTAACTTACTCAATGTCAAGGGACTACAGGTAGTGGCATCTGGATGTGAAGGGGACCAGAGAGGAGACATGAAGGGGCCATGAGAACACAGACAGTGGGAGAGGTGAAGTTCCAGCTGGGCGGGACAGGAGGAGGATGAGTTCACTGAGCAGGGGGCATGCCTACTAGGCAGTGAGGCAGAACGGGGGATGCTCTCGAGGACTGAGAGGGTGCTGGTCGTGGCAATGCATACCTGTAGTTCCAGCTACTTGGGAGGCTAAGGTGGGACGATTGCTGGAGGCTAGGAGTTCAAGACTAGCCTGGGCAACATATCGAGACCCCATCTCTATAAAATAGAATATATATATATATATTTTTTGAGACGGAGTCTCACTCTGTTGCTCAGGCTGGAATGCAGTGGCACGTTGTTGGCTTACTGCAAACTCTGCCTCCGAGGTTCAAACAATTCTCCTGCCTCCCAAGTAGCTGTGATTACAGGCACCTGCCATCACGCCGGGTAATTTTTGTATTTTCAGTAGAGACAGCGTTTCGCCATTTTGGCCAGGCTGGTTTCGAACTCCTGACCTTAAGTGATTCGCCTGCCTTGGCCTCCCAAAGTGCAGGGATTACAGGTGTGACCCACCACGCCTGGCGGCAACCCTCATTTTCAATCCGCCGCCTTGTCTTTCCTCATGCAGTTCCCTATGCCTGGACTGCCCTTTCTGGCCCCAAGGTTACCCCCTCCAGGAAGTCTCTGAGTCCCCACATTAGACCAAGTGCCCTTCTTCTTATACTGAAATCTCAGTACCTACTTTCGTATATTGAAATTGAACTATGTGGGTGTTCATCAGGCCTGTTTCATTTGCAAGAGGCAGAAACAACTCAGGAGGGCTTCAGCAATGCAAGTTCAGCCACAGTGGGACTCAGGGGCTTAGTGTCACTGGAACTTGGCGTCTCCCCTATCTCTCCATTTTGCTTTCCTCTGCGTTGAGATCGTTCTTAGGTCAACTTCCTCCCTTCGCAGGCCTAGGGGGGTGTGGTGGCCCAGATGGACTGACACAGAGTCTCATTGGACTAACTCGGGTCAGGTGGCCTGCATTGACCAATCACAACAGCCTGGTGGGTAGGATACACTGATTGGCTAGGACTGGCAGGGGGCGGAGTCAGCCCACCCAAACCTTGGGGATTGAAGAGTGGAAGAGGAGTGTTCCCAAAGGAAATAAAATCAGGAGGAAGTGAGGGGCAGGACAGGCGCAAACAACCCAATAGCCCCTACCTACAATGTGGATGGACCCCACCAGACCATGGGCTCCTCAAGGGCAAAAATAATAACAAAGGCTCCCAAGATCTGAGGGACAAAAAAATAAAAAATAAAATAAATAAATAAATAACCGGGCGCCGTGGCTCATGCCTGTAATCCCAGCACTTTGGGAGGCCGAGGCGGGATACTGTTAGGCTAGGGAGTTTCATGGTGGATCACGAGGTCAAGAGATCGAGACCATCCTGGTCAACATGGTGAAACCCCGTCTCTACTAAAACTACAAAAAATTAGCTGGGCATGGTGGCGCGTGCCTGTAGTCCCAGCTACTCAGGAGGCTGAGGCAGGAGAATTGCCTGAACCTAGGAGGCGGAGGTTGCGGTGAGCCGAGATCGCGCCATTGCACTCCAGCCTGGGCAACAAGAGCGAAACTCCGACTCAAAAAAAAAAAATAAATAAAATAAATAAATAAATAACTACCAAGGCTCACATTGACGTATATCCTATCTGTAGTCTCTGTTATAAGTGCAGTGCACATATCCTTGACTCTAGTGAGCAGAAACAACCCCACGAGATATTGTTTTGCTTTCTGTTTTTTTTTTTTGAGACGGAGTCTCCCTCTGTCGCCAGGCTGGAGTCCAGTGGTGCAATCTTGGCTCACTTCAACCTCTGCCTCCTGGGTTCAAGCGATTCTCGTGCCTCAGCCTCCCGAGTAGCTGGGGCTGCAGGCTCGCGCCACCACGCCCAGCTAATTTTTGTATTTTTAGTAGAGACAGGGTTTCACCATGTTGGCCAGGATGGTCTTGATCTCTTGACTTTGTGAGCCATCTGCCTAAGCCTCCCAAAGTGCTGGGAAATCAGGCATGAGCCACCGTGCCTAGCCAGGTTTTCTTTTAAGGGAAAATTAGAATGGCCCCATAATTACTCACAAATTGAATCTTTTCTCCCTCAGCTTTATTGTGGTATGATTGACAAATAAAAATTGTATATATTTAAGATGTATAGCAAGATGTTTTCTTAAAAGTCTACATTCCAAAATTAGTACAAAGTAATTAATATATCCATCTCCTCACATTATTACAATTTTGTGTGCGTGTGATGAGATTAAGATCTACTCTCTTAGCAAATTTGAAGTACAATATCCAATACACCAATACAGTATTAATATACTCACCGTGTTGTTGTACACCAGGTCTCCAGATCTTTGTTTGTTAGTTTGTTTGTTTTGAGACAGACTCTTGCTCTGTCACCCAGGCTGGAGTGCAGTGGCACAATCTCACTCGCTGCAACCTCTGCCTCCAAAGTTCAAGCAATTCTCCTACCTCAGCCTCCTGAATAGCTGGGATTACAGACGTGTGCCACCACACCAGGCTAATTTTTGTATATTTAGTAGAGACTGGGCTTAGCTGTGTTGCCCCGGCTAGTCTCAAATTTCTGGCCTCAAGTGACTCGCCTGCCTCGGCCTCCCAAATTCCTGGGATTACAGGAGTGAGCCACCGTGCCCAGCCTCAGGTCTCCTAACCTTGCACATCTTATAGCAAAACGTTTGCACCCTTTGACAGAACATCGCCACAGTTTCCCTGCCCCACCAGCCCCTGGTAAGCGCTATTTTACTCTGTTTCTATGAGTTTGATTTTTTAAAATTCCACATATAAGTAAGATCATGCAGTATTTCTCTTTCTGTGCTTGGCTTATTTCTCTTGGCATAATGTCCTCCAGATTCATCCATGTTGTCACAAATGGCACGTTTTCTTTCTTTCCTTTTATTATTTTATGTATTTATTTTATTTTTTGAGACTGAGCCTTGTTCTATTGCCCAGGCCGGCAATCTCGGCTCACTGCAACCTCCACCTCCCAGGTTCCAGTGGTTCTCCTGCCTCAGCCTCCAAAGTAGCTGGGATTACAGGTGCGCGCCACCATGCCCAGCTAATTTTTGTATTTTTATTTTTATTTATTTATTT